GGAGGTTCCCCCTGGCTTGTCCTTCTCCCCCCCGCCCTGTTCACTATCTGCTCTGTGTATCACTTATCAGAGCAGCACTGGGGCTGAGGCTGCGACGTGACTCTCCCAGAGGAATGTCACATCCAGAACAACGGGCTTGTTGTGCGGATCCCTCGGACACCCCGTGCCAGTCGGCAGCGCTGCAGCGGATTTATTACTCAAAGTAGTAAAAGGCATCTGTTTCCAGGCTACCTGGGGTGTAATTAAGATGAAAACAGATTGATGGAACATACATTTAGGAGTAGGCTGGAAAGCTGCATTGCTGAACCATCTTGTTTTGTCTCTTTTTTTGAAGGCATTATTCCAGTGAATGCTGTCCTGGCAGGTATCTCTGCAGCTCTGCTTACAAAGGGCCTCGATGACAGAGCCCAGCAGTCAGTAACTGACACCAGAGCTTTAAAGCCACCAGAATCAGGACTGGTTTAAATGTCAGTAGCTGACCCAAACGCTGGTCTGTGAGCTCAGTAACACGGGCACAATGTTTGATTACCCCGTTCCCCATCCCTTTGGCCCAGGGTGCAGGGGGGAGGCAGGGTTAGTGCAGCCAGAGCGTGGGGTGACTCTGTTCAATGAAGTACAAAGGTATTTTCTCAGCACCCATTCCAGCCCTGAATGGAGCAGCACTACCCCATGGCCAGGCACGGGGGCTGTGTGCTCTCCCCTGCCACCCCTTGGTGTTAAGGTGAACCCCAGGGTGACACCCCCAGGGTGACACCCCCAGCAGCCACTGCCTGGCACGGGGCAGAGCTGTGCTGGGAGCCGCTGTGTCCCGGTGACCTTTGCAGGGAGGGATTCTCTCCACAGCATTGTGCTGTGCTCTCAGCACGACTGAGCTTGGTACATTTCCCTCCAGCTTCGTTAGAAACCATTGCCAGGAGCTCAGGGGTGTGCTGATGGAATATCACTGTGAATGTGAAGAGCCAGCAGAAGATCCCTGCTGGAACTGCCTTGTTGTCTTCCTGGCTGAGCTCTAACGTGTAGCTGTGGCTGCTCTCAGATATCAGGAGCTTTGTTTCCCAATATCCCACTTGTTTCTCCTGCTGTCAGCTCTCTGATCATCTTTTCTTGGATTTTTAGATCACCACAACTTTCCCCAAGGATCCAGTCTACACTTTTTCTATTTCTCAAAATCCATTCCCCATCGAGAACCGGGATGTGCTGGGAGAAACTCAGGTAAGGAGCGATTCGTACCAGAACCGTGCTCCATGCAGACAGCTCAGCTGCCTCCCTGGCACTCACTCACATCTGCAAAGGGGCAGCTGCACTTGTGCCCTCAAATCACCCTTCGTGGGTCACTCCAGCTCTTGCCAAGCACCTTCCTGCACGGAGCAGTGTCTGCATGGCAATCAGCTTGCTGGACACCTCGCTCAGTGACAGGGACCAGGGCTCCTCGCTCTGTGCCAGGGCTGCCACCTCCAGCAGCACCAAAGAGCTCGAGGGGCTCCAGCCCCATGGTGACAGTGCAGGACCCGCTTCTCCCTGCAGTCAGGGAACGGGCAGGTCCCTGCACTCTGTTGCTCCAGCTCCGAGAGTGCTGACTTCTCATCCTGGATTGATTTTTAAAATACAGAGACTTTTTTTTTTCCTGCAAGAGGCCCATAGCCTTGAGCAGAGGCAGCTGCTGGACAGCTCGAGTCGCTTTAAAGCAGCAACAGCTTGTTTCTCTAAGGAGGCTGTGCCAGAAATGTCCACGGCTTCCTCCAGAAGTCACCATGAGGGAAGGGTCGCTGCCCGCTGTGGCTCTGCCGCAGAGTCAGCTGCTCACAGACCGCTTTGGTCCTCGTTTCTGAGGACACCCTGGCTTCAAGAGCAGAGAAAGGGGAGAGGATGAGGAAGAAGCAGCTGCTTTCTCCTCACCTGCTGCTTTTCCTCGGGGACTGGGCTTTGAGCTGAGCTGACTGGCCTCTGCTCAGCATCTCCGGGGTCTGGGATCCGCTCCATATGCGCTGGGGGGTGTTCAGGTGTTTGGACAGGGGAGCTGGTGTGGACACAAAGATCTTGTTCTCTGGAAGTTGTGAGCTGCAACTCAGCCAGCCTGGGATCTGATTTCGGGAGGGTTTCTGCACAGCTGATGCCCAAAAGAGACAGGAGCGCTACAGTTAGTGGATCCAGATAGGAAAATAAAGTCGTCACGTGGCAGGGAAGTGACTCCTCATTATTGCTTTCCCCTCTCTGCAGGATTTCCACAGCTTGGCCACGTACCTGTCCCAAAATACTTCCTCTGTTTTCCTAGACATCATTTCTGATTTCCATCTGCTCCTCTTCCTGGTCACGAATGAGGTCATGCCTCTGCGGGTACGTAACGGGGAGGAAAGGGTTGTGTCAGCATCACTGTCCCCAGGGCCCTGAGCTCCTCCTGGGGTGTCACTTGCCCATGTGGAGGTGACAGACCCAGCCTGCCACCCCCAGGCAGGTCCCCTGGCTGGGTTCCTGTGCAGGGCAGGTCATACAGCTGGACCAACACATCTTCTTCCAGGCTGAGCTGTTGGTAAAAGGTTTTAAAAAGTGAAACCAAAGGCCCTGACTAGACCAAGAGCTCAGAGCAGCGAGGGGGTGGTGGTTGTTAGCACGGTCACAGACCAGACAGAGCCAACTTGGCTACAGCTCTGAGAGCTGGAAACATTTAAACAAAAAAATATCTCAGAATCAGAAATTCCTGTTGGAATGATAACGAGATCAGAGCCCCCAAATCTCAGTGAGGCCAACGACTTCCTGGCTGTGCAGCTCTGCCTCTTTTGGCCGGGCACTGAGGGCTTGGCAGCTGCCCAGGCCCCCGCTTCCCATCTGCACCACTGGACCTTCCCGGCGCTCAGCAGCACGCCAAGGAAAAGGGCCATGTGTTTGCCAGAGGCTTCGAGGGCGCGGGGGACCGCGCATGTGCCGGGCAGCCGGGCTGCCCCTGGGCAGCTGGAGATCAGGCTGGGTGCTGGTGTGCCCTGGCATGGTGGGTTTGTGCCCCAGCACGATGGGTTTGCACCCCAGGAATCAGGATCAGCCCATGGTGCTGGCACACTGTCCCACACAGGGCAGCCTGGTGAGGTGATAACCTCCTCCAGGCAGAGGAAAGGGAAGGATTTGGGGTTTGGGGTGTGTCTGAGTAAAGGGATAAACTGCATCTTGCTTCCCTGCCCGTCAGCCTCGCTGGGGCAACCCAAAGGGGCAGCTGCTCAGAGGCACAGCTCTGTCTTGCTGTGGCTGGTGGAGGAGGAGGACAGGGAGACAATTCCTTGGTCACAGCTCCAGCCTGGGTGTTGGAGGAGTGTCCCCCGCTGATTTCCCTCTGATGATGGTTTCCAGGACAGCATCAGTTTGTTG